CTCAACTCGGAAGTCACATGCCCTGTAAATCTTCTAAGCAATGAACACCTACTCCATATTTATCACCGCCTACAATAGCGCAGCAGAGAAACCAGGCAGGACACCGAGAGAGGTGCTACGCTCTCACACTGCGGGAGGGATGAATATACTCACAGGAAGGCACAAGAGGGGGCTGGACTACGGCTCAGCAGCTAAGAGAACCTGTTGCTCTTGCAAAGGGCTCAGTACCCACACAGTGGTCCATAACCACCCTTAACTCCAATTCCAGGAGATCTGAAAGCCTCTTCTGACCTCTGTGGGCAAGAGGCCCACATGCAGTGCACCTACCTACAGGCAGGCAAAACAGCCACACATGTAAAAAGTTAATCTAAACATTTTTGCTGTTTTGTTTTTTCGAGACAGGGATTCTCTGTGTAGGCTTGACTGTCCTGGAAGTAGCTCTGTAGGTCAGGTTGACCTCGAACTCACAGAGATCCACCAGCCTCTGCCTCCTGAGCGCTGGGAATAGATGCATGAGCCACCACCACCTGGCTTCTAAAAAAATTATTTAAAGACACAAAGATAAGGTTATTAAAAAGAAACTTTTTTTTTCAGTGCTTGTCTCTTTTTATTTCAGTTTCTTTTTTTTTTTCCTCCAGATGTGATAAATCCTCACGAGAAATTTGGCTTCTACAAACCTTCTCCTAATAGGTGACAAAAATTATAATAACTATCACCCTTACATGTAGGAGGAAGAAAGCAGAATCAGAGAAAGAGCCACCACGGAGATGCCAGGTCAGACATGCTGAATCTTTCCCGGTAAGCCACGACCTCGTGGTTCTACACAGATTATTAGAAATGGGTTGAATCAAGATGTGAGAGTTAGCCAATAAGAGGCTAGAGCTAATGGCCAGGCAGTAATTTAATTAATACAATTTCTGTGTGATTATTTCAGGGGTTAAGCTAGCCGGGAGGCAGGACGCAGCCCACCGCTCCTCGTTACTACACATACAGGGTAATCAAAGGAGAATCTTACTTTCAATAACCACATTCTACCAGTAATTTGCTAACTAAATATTATGAATAATCAATTGTATGACATAAAATTTAAATATAGTATTCCAATTCTCTGCATGCATAGGTTTGCCATAAAATAAATTATTATCAGCACAAGATTAGGAATTGAAGATCTTTGCATATCAACATGAAGAATGTCAAGGGGCTGTCCGAAACACCTGTCAAAAACAGAAACTAAAGTGACAGACCTACAAGCAGTCTAATAGAGGGTGCCATTTACTGATTGTCATCTTCTAGACACCAACACTAAGCACTTATGTACATTACGTCATTTCACTTATGGAACAGGAAGAATCATCCCTAGTTACATATGTGAACATAATTCACATGGTTAGGTGATTTGTTCTGAGTTTCACACCAGTAGATAGAGGTGAGAGCTTAATTCGGTTTTGTTGGAATCCAAAAGCCTTGTCTTCACTCATTACACTAGCACATTCTGACTTCTGTGACGCCATGACATAGACTGGAAGGCTTTGGTAGAAGCTATCTTTCTTACAAGATTATGCCATGAAAATGAAATGTTAAGTGTTACAGGTTATTAAATAATGAACTGGTATAAACCTTGCAAATAGTGTTTTCTCTTCAAATTATTAAATTGAAGACATTTGCAGAGAGACATACACCAAAACGGTCCAAACGCTATTTCAACTGCTGTATTTAGAAGCTGTAAAACGCTTTCAGAGGTGGCCATGGTGCCACATACTTACGACCCTGATACTGGAAGGCTGAGATAGGAGAGTTCCAGGATAATCTGAGCTACACACGCCACAAGCCCCTGTCTCAAAACAAGACTTAAAATCTGAACACACAACTCCAAGTAGCACACCTACACCCACGTTATACACACTGGTTGGGAATATTTATACAGTTCAGGAGCAAATGCTGCTTAAATAGCAATTTGGCATAACAAGACCTCCCAATAGCATCTAAAGGAAATTCAAACCAAAGGGGCAATTACAATACTGAAGTCTTCCTTAGTAATGAAACCTGTATTAACTTATTAATTCAAACTTCTATAGTACTTTTAATCTGTAACACTGATTTTTAACAATAAACAGCTAATATTCACTGCATGTTTTGCTTTATATTATCATGTTCAATCCTCCCAGCAATTCTGAAGAATCTCTACTTTCTATACCTTAAAAGTATAGAAACTGAGGCAAATGGAAATACTCTCCTAAAGTTGCAGCCAGTAAACACAAATTAGAATTTGAAGCATTCTGACTTCAAAGCCCATCTTGCCTGCAATCACTACATGAAATTATCACTACATACAAAAGAAAATATACAAACCAGGAGAGTCAAGAGAAGATTTCAATTTAAACTAAATTGGATAGTCTCATAGTGTTGAAGTAAAGATGGCTTCCAAGTACCTAAGTAAACTTTCTGCTGTCAGAAGAGTAGAGGAAGTAACTGAATACCATATACCATATAGGGAAATTTTACTTAAAGAAATATCATGAAAGATCATTTTTAAAAGTTTTTAAATTTATTAATTTTATGTCTGAGTTTTGAATCTGCATGTATGAATATGTATCAAGTACATGCGTACAGACAGTGGCTACTGAGCCCCTAATCCGGGTCCTCTGTAAGAACAGCAAGTACTTGTAACTATTGTGCCAACTCTCCAGTCCCAAGAAAGATCGTTCTACCTTCACATATGCGTTACTACACAGTCCAGGTAAGCCCAGCTGCTTCTCCAACCTACATCAACTTACTGACTTAATCTGCTCAAAATATTGTTGTAAAAAAATCCTAAGAGGGAAAAAAGATTTCATGGTGTGGTACACGCCTATAATCTCAGCTACAGGATCTCATGAGTTCTGAGATCAAGATTCTGTCTCAAATCAAAACAAAATGCTTAAAAAAAAAGTTGGTTAAAAACAAACAACACAAATGTTTCAGTACTTTGACTTTTACTTAAACTTTTCAAATTCTCTAAGCTATGGTGTGTTTAATTTTTTTTTTTTTAATTAAAGGTCTTGGATAGTTCTGCTTGCCTAGGTTTTTTTTTCCAATGGTCACTATAAAGCAAATCACAGAAGACAAGGACACATTTTTAATTTCATAATTGACTGATCAATATAGAAAATGCTAATGTCAGGGGCTAGAGAGATGTCTCAGTGGTTAACAGCACTGGCTGCTCTTCCAAAGGACCTAGGTTCAATTCCCAGCACCCACACAGCAGCTAACAACTGTAACTCCAGTTACAGCAGATCTGACACTATCACACAGACATACGTGCGTGCAGACAAAACACGAATGCTATGAAATTAAAAAAAATATATTTAAAAATAGAAAACGCTAATGTCACTGATATGGTGATATATGCTGTAATCCCAGCACTGGGGAAGCTGATGCAGGAGGATGGAGAATTGGAGGCCCACCTAGACTACATAGTGATAACTGTCTCAAAGCACAAAAATTAAGGCAAGCCAGAAAACTAGCAAGTGGGGTGTTTTCTATCTTACTTCTAAAATGCCCCCATGAACCAATGTCCACCACGAGCTTCATCAAGCTGGTTGGTTAATAGCAAATACTTAAATACCAGCTAAGTACCAGGAACCATGGACAGAAGAGGCCTGCCATATAGACACTGGCAGTCCAGAACTATTATTGACTTCCTATCTTCTGGAAACTCAAACTCCACGGCATAACCTTTTCTTTATATTCAAGCTGCCTCGTAGAGCTTCCACAATATATACAGTTCCCAGCACATCTGAGAGCACAGAGTGAGTCTGAGATTATGGTGGCTGCAGCTGTCCTCTGCAGCTTCGCAAAGGGAAACTGGTACTCTCCGGCGACTCCTTGGAACTCAACCTATCTACAAGCTCTGGTGCTTACAGAACTGTGACTCGTACATATTCTCACCGAACAGATTCCTCAGAAATATGAATAATGAGGGCGGCTGGATTTATTGGTAAGCTAACACCAGAGGACTTTACTTGATCTACTGTGCCTACCGAAGTTTAAAACTCAAATTATCCTGACTAAAACATGTCTGACTATGTATTAAAACCATTTGAGTATAAGGCAGCGTGCTGTAATCTGGAAGCCAGTATTTTTACTTTAAAAACCGAATAATAAACCACTCCCGCAAATGTATCAAGTCTCTACAGTAAATATACCCCATTCTATATATTATCCTGTTCTAACTCTATTCCCAATGCACTTCATTCCTAGAACGTCACCACTGTAATCTAGTGCCCACTAATCTATCCCAAACCTCAAAGATGGCATTCTTTTCACTTTCTCAGCTTACACCATCCCTATCCCGTTAATAAAAGCAGGAGTTACAAAACCTCTAGAGAATGTTTAAGATAGGAAAAGTTGAAAAAGTAAACCAGACTCTACACCCAAGTTTTCTTCTATACCTAAGAACTTCTCATTTATTTCACCTGCCTCCCCTATATGTTCCTGGACAATCCGCCTTACTAACAGTACTGTGTGTGTGTGTGTGTGTGTGTGTGCTCTTTTACAAACAGCAGGTTCTTTATTTGACCCCTCTGTCCAAGCTTCTCTCTTCATTCAATCCTCCCAGCTTTATCCTGCCATCAGGTATCAAACTCACACAAACCCCGGACAAGCCCATCTGACACCATACACTATCCTCCTCAGCACGTCCCAACCCAACGTAAAGCCTTCCCTAATATCGGTCCCTTCCCTTATGAGCCTTTCCCAGATTCTCAACAGTCTCAAGGCTCCAAACTCCCAAACTCTGCTAAGCACCATCCCAGGACGGTTACACCCTCTCCAACCTGAAATCCCCACGCCTTCCGGGGCCTCAGTTACCAAGGCCAAAACCCGCCCTTATGCCGGGCATCCCCTCCCAGTCCCTTCGGGGTCCTTTCCGCCGGCCTAGCCAGACCCCTCATCAGCTCAGCTTGCTCCCCAGGCCGAGCTCTCGGGACTCTAGCACTCCAGCTCCGCCCCCAGCCCCTCACCGAGCAGCAGCAGCTTCACTTCTTTGGCCGCTTTCTCCCCGTCCTCCCGCAAGTTGCGGTCAATCATCCTGCTCCGCTCCACCGCCGCCTTGTCCTCGGCGCTCAACGTGCAGCCCATGGCGGCGGCGGGAGAGGGGACCGGGCCCGGGCTCACTCACACACCGCGGGAACCACGACTCCACCGGCTGAGACGAGTCGTCTGCTGGGCGGTGGCCTTCTCCGTCAGCTCCCCTAGCGCCCGGAAGAACCGGATATCTACTGTTTACGACACTTCCGGCGACGCCCAGCGGCCGTTACCACTCGGAGCACTGTGGCGGTGCGAAGCGAAAGAGGTACGGAAAGCGGAAGTCCTCGGGAGTCTGGCCGGTCTCGTGAAGTGTTGGAGATCCGTCGCTCCGAACCTCCCGGCCTTAATACCCGTTTACCTCTCGGGCTCTTAGGCTGGCACAAGTGTAGCAAAAGAGGGCCTTCCAGCTCGCTGTGCCCCCTTGAGGTCGCACAGAAGGTTTGGTGGTGAGGACCGGATTCCTAAATAAGTGCTCACACCCCTCTGGAAATTTAACCGGGAAAAAGTCTCCCTGGCTAGAAAAACCCTTTTGATCAGTGATTGTGGAGCCCGGGTCTCTGCCCAAAGCCGAGTGTTGGATACGTCAGCCAAAGCTGTCCCAGCCTGCTCTTTGAGATGGGAACAAACTGCCCAGCCTGGTTCCACCTATGCCTCACGCTACACCCCATTATGCGGAGGAGTAGGCTTCCTCCTGCTCTTAAAGGAAATCTTAGTCCTTCTGCCGCAAAGCATGAATTTTCTGTGAGCTGTACGTTTGCCTGGCACTCCTATGTTGGCAAAGGATCACTCGACTTCTAGCAAATAACAGAACATGGAAAATAGGTGTAGGTCATTCATAACATTTCGCTGCTTCCCTTTCTCCAATATAAACCAAGGGCTCTGTGTTAGGTACTTAGTCCCATGTCTGGATGCAAACCAGTGCATCCTTCTTGAACGAGAGTTCCTGCATGATAGCCACAGCAAAAGGGAGGTTTAGTAAAAGCTGTTTCTCTAGTATCGCCTGAAGATTTACCTTCACAAGGTTCTGATGTATTTATAATCCTGAAATGCCTGTACTGCCAAGTAGCCCCACAGTGGCTCACCACTTTTAGGAAGCAGCACCTTTTTCTGCAGCCCTCGAGCCCTTCCCTGGAACTTAAAACATATTTCTTCAGTAGAAGCAAAATTTAAAATACAAATTCCAGACAGAAAGGTCTATACAATGAAAATTAATTAATTAGAACCATTTAATTAGATTGACCTCATCCACTTCACCAAAATGCTTATCAATTCCAAGTCTAAAAAGTCGCCCATTCATTTCCAAAGGACCATTAAAAAGAAAGAGCCTGCTTTTCCTTTATGATCACTTCCAGGGGAAAGGGGAAACACATTTATTGAATACCTATTTGCCAGGTATGGCTAGGTGTTTCCACGTCTCGTCTCTTAATCCTCACAACAGCCCTGTGAGGTAGGTAATATCGACCCCATCGCCACAGATGAGGAAATAGGCTCAGAGAGATTAACCACCTTTCCCACGTCCACACAATGAGTACATCCAGCTGGTCTTAACTTTACCTCTTTTTCTACCAGGCCTCTAGAAGGGCATCGCTTGGGGACACCCAACAGAAAGTCTGAAGTTTTTATCACCTCAATACCAAGCTGTAGGCAACAGTAACTGACAGGGTGATTGTCTCATCCTGTTGCTCCCAGAAGACCTTTCCAGAGCTAAGGATTGTATTCTGAACTTTACCAATGCATCTCAGTGACTAGAAAATTCCTGGACGGTGGCTATAGCAAAAGTTGCGGAGAAAGTTCTCAGCATAATACAAAGAAAAGTTTTACTTCCTTTATGATCTGTTCCTACAGCCAGGAAAAAAAAATGGCAAGCGAATTCTTATATGCCACTTAAGCTAATGGCAGCAAGGTCTTAGTGTCGGGTATTTCAGTATGAATTGGAGCTACCCTTGAACGTAACACTTCCTTTTACGTGAAGCAAGGGTCAGAGGGCAAAGTTAAAAAAAAAAAAAAAACAACAAAATGGCTGCCAAGCAGTGTTTTACACACACACACACACACACACACACACACACACACGCGCGCGCGCGCGCGCGCTCGCCCATTTAGGCCTTTCCTGTTTCTATAGGGCTCACACTGCCATCTTCTGGCAGTGTCTGGGTCTACTAGCTAATTGGTGGATTCATGGTTGATGAAAGTTTTTCCCTTATGCTACAGTAGGAAGGAAATTTCTCAGACTCTAGGAAGAGAGGGAGAAATGGTTTTGAAGATAAAAGGACGCTCCTTACTGTGTATACTTCCTAAGGGATTTCCCCAGTGTAATAGGTCCTAGACTAGAAGACTACACAAAAGATAGGAAGACAAACTGGAAATTCACCTAATCCAAAAGGGGAAAAGCTGTTTGCCAGGTTTCATCAGATGGGTTGTTTCCACTCCCCACACTTTGCACAGTCTGCAGGGAGGCTCTGTGTATCACTCAGTGGACTCTCAGAAGTCAGAACCATGAATAGATGCTCCACATTGTACTACTTTATCAGATCTACATGCTCTACAAAAATACAAATATCTGATCAAGTTAGACTATGCACTCCTTGAAGGCAGAGAGACCACACATCATCTGTGTGTGTCCCAGCGAATGCTGGCGTTCAACTATTTACACACTGAATAAAACTGAAGGAGTCAGTGTTGATATCAATATAACTTTTATCATAAAATTTATTAGTTGTCCAAAGGGGAAACTACTCCACCCCAACACACTTTCCCCCTTTGTTATTTCTGTTATGAACCAGAAATTTGTTCAGGTGTAGACCACATCACCCTCTAATTCTACCTTGACCCTTTGGTATTCAACTGCGGGAAGTGGAATGGACAGGAGGTTCCAGATACGTAGCCTGTCTAGCTTGCAATTAATCCCTCTCCATGGGAAATACCATTGCTGATACCAACCAACATGGTTCCTAGAGTCTTAATCAATAAACAGCAAAGCCCAACTCTCTGCCCTCTCTCCAACCCAGGGCTGCAGGTAGGAGACACATTTAAGTCTTTATCACAGAAGCTAATTTTGAGAGCAATGAATGAGGAGAGGGAGGCATTTCATGGACTGTGGAAATCCCACCCTTCCCCTTGCCCGACCTTAGTCTCTTGTACCCGATTGTCCAGGGGGCTGGAAGTGGGTCACTGCCATGAGGAGAGAGATCAGGGAGGCCAGTCCTGGAAAGAAAAGATTGGCAGTATTATTGATCAGAGTAACTTACCTGGCCTTTCTGTATCCACCCTCAGCTCTCTGATCCCCCAGGTAGTCTAGCTACTCAAAAGGCAGGGAGGAAAGGGGCAGCCTGTCTCATGTTTGTCTGTGCTGAGATCAGGACCCAGACCCCATCCCCTCCATGCAGGGAAGAGAACAGGAGAGAGCTGCAGAGAGTTTTCCTGTCTTCTCCCCCACTACCCTTACTGCAATTTTTTCTTGCGCCGCTGGCAAAATCCAGAAAAGAGTTCACCCTACTGGTCTGCTCACTTTAAGAGAAATCTTAGACATTTAACTTTAAAAAGGAATCTGTTAACTCATGGTGACACTTGGCTACAGTTTTGTTCTTTTTCTAGCCTAGTAAGTGAGAAGATGTGGGCCACTCCCTTACCTTGTTTTAGTGTAAGTATTACCCTGAACTATTACACCAGAGAGAAGTAAACCTCAGTGGTCCCCAGCTCCTAGCCTGCTGCTCCAACACCTGCCCTTAGGAAGTTTCCCTGTCTCCTGAGGCATGAGAAGTTCACTGGTAGAAAGGTGTCACCTCACCTTTGTGAGAGATGATGAGAGCATCATCGTCTCACCAAACCCAGGTTCCCTCCCCCAATAGTCAAAGAGCACAGCCAAGTCCAAAGCTTTTGCCACATGTCCATCCTGTTGACTCTGGTCCTGACCCAGGAAACACCAAGCAAAAGCTAAGTCCAGAGACCCCAGCCCAAACCCCAGCCGGCTGGAAAAGGCAGTCCTTAAGATCGTAAACCAGCCCCAAGCCTTATTTCCCTCCAAGTGTCCATCAGGACTCCAGCTTTTGTGAGGGGGCGGGACGGAGGTAGCTGTCTGACATGATGATGTCGCTGGTAAGTTGCTGCTCCAGGAACTCCGAGGTCTCCTCAGCAATCTGGCCTGGGATTCGAAAGTCAACAGCAGGTGGTGGCTCCCGCTTAGGGCTAGGTAGGGGCCTGGAAACCCAGTTCTCCGAGGTCCCCTGGAGGAACTGCAGGAAATTCTCCTCAATAGAGCCCTCCCGACTAGGCAGCCTCAGCTCCTCCTCTGGAGCTGCCTTGAAGAAGCAGACAAACTGTTTGCTAAGCTCGCCCCGGATCTGACGGTTGAGACATCCATAGAAAAAAGGGTTGGAAGTGAAGCAAAAGTAGCCGATCCACGTCACCACGTTCTCCACCTGTCCTGTCGAAATGGGCTGAGCGCTCAGGGCCACGTAAAGATGGAAAGAGAAGTAGGGTAACCAACAGAGCAGGAACTGGCCTCCTACAGCCAGAAGGACCACTGCTGCCTTTCCACCCCCAAACGTCCGGTGTGGAGTGGTCTGGTGAGCCCCGGAGCTGGTGACCATAGTAGAGCGGCTACTGAGAGACTCAGAGCGTTGCCGGGGTGTCTCCATCCACGTGGGCAGAGGCCCGTGTTGCATGGCCGCCACACGAGCCACTCGGAACATGCTGCAGTAAACCACAAAGATCAGGATCAAGGGCACCAAGAAGTAAAGAACAGCAAAGACCACCACAAAAAGCTGGCAGTAGACACTATGGTTCCATTGGAGAGAACAGCCTGGGTTAACGCTGGGAGCGCCTTCCTCCCAGGAGACCCTGCCCAACACTGGCACAGAAGCCATGGCCAGGGCCTTTATCCACACGCCCACTAGCACGGAGGCCACCAGCCCCAGGGTCATGCGTACCTCGTAGCGCATGGGGTGGACCACATAGTAGTAGCGCTCCACGTTAATGGCAGACACCGAAAGGATGGCCAGGCTGACAAAGCAAACGCTCAGGAACAAGTAGAGGCGGCAGGCCACCTCCCCGAAGAGGGCGTGGTCAAAGAGAGCGGAGCTGGAGAGCATGGCCAGGGGCATGAGGGTCAGAGCAGCCAGTAGGTCCACCAGACAGAGATGGAAGACGAAAACAAATTTTCGGAGGGCAGGTGTCTTGGCAATAACAGCCATCACGGCAGCGTTGCCAGCCACAGCAGTAAGGTCCAGCAGGAGCATAAAGAAGAGGGCCACGGATTCTGAAGCCACGTCCTGCAGTCCCAACTCGGGGATCCCGCTGGCAGTAGAGGGACCTGGTGTTTGAAGGGCTCTTCCCAAAGTGGATGCGTTTCCTGATGACTGGGGGATGGATGAGGACTCCATGGGGCCGAAAGAGGACACCCAGGGCTCTTTCTGTTACGGGCCCATCCCCCATCCTACTCCTCAGCCCTGGGTGGTAAAGCCCAGGCCTAGGCTTCCCGATGGATTTCCTTGGGGGCCTTCCACTGGAGTCTGTAGGGCAGGCCTTTATCACCAGCCTTCCAAACAGGGCTCTTCTGCAGTGGTGCCAGGCCAGGCAGCTCTGAACTCAGAAGCTCGTGTCCAGTTTCTGTCAGGAGGTAGACCCAGGGTCAGTCAGCCCTGGTGAAGGGAAGCAACCCACTGGCGAGGGACGGATCCTCACATGCAGTGTTCCACCTTCAGAGTGGTCTGTGGCACCTTTCTCCCCCTTTTTCTAGTTCTCCATGCTTTTCTTCCCTTTTGAGGGCAATTCTAAATCCTCTGTCTCCCTTCTCCAGGGTCCTGAGGAGTCTAAGACAGTGCCCTGGCTTTAGGGGGCCTTGTGTGAATTCTCTGATTTCTCGTCAGAACTGGGAGTAGGAGAACACGATTCAGCTTCTAGGTCCAGGTCTGGGCATTACTCACTCTGCAACTCTTCTGGACTCCAGTTTCCTCGCGAAGGCATCTGTTAAAGGAAGAAATAACACCAATTTCATAGCCTCACAGCGTCTGGTTTGGTTGCTTACGAGCAGCACTGATCCCATGGAGCAATGGTCACGTGGTGCACGGCACACGCTGTGTTCTATGCACTCCATGCCATCGACTCATTTTCGTCCTCACACGATCCTGTGGACACACAGTAGGATCTCCATTTCTCCACAGATAGACCTGCAGCCCAGAGAACCCCAAAACACACAACACAGGCAGCCTGGCCCCAGGGACAGTTCTTTTGCCTGCTATCCCTTGCCATGCAGGAAAGTAGCTTCCCTATCGACTAGAATCATAAATTGAGTACATCACTGTCAAGCTTGATCAGACCCTACTAACATCTCTTCCCCACTCGAAGGCTATCGCCCAGGAAGGACAGCTGTGCCTTAGTCCCTTCTGACGTCATCACCCCCAAACAAAAGCTGCCAGTTTGGGAATGATGAGGACGCTGCGGTGAAGACAGAATGTCCAGCTGCAAGGGACGCCAGCTCATCTGCTCCTGAACTCCCGCGGCCGGAGGGCCCGCGCCACTGGAAAGCTGTCCTTCCCTTCCTACTCTTTTGTTTGTTTGTTTTTGAGACAGGATTTCTCTGTGTAGCCCTGGCTGACCTGGAATTCACTCTGTAGACCAGGCTGGCCTCAATCTTAGAGATCTGCCTGCCTCTGCCCCAGAGTGCTGGGATTAACAGCAACGCCACCACCGCCCGGCTCAGCTACCTGCTCTTTAGCCACTCGGGTGGCTGTCCTATGTCCTATGTCCTAGCTGGTGGAGGAAGGGCATCTCAGCCCAAGGCACTTTTGGTTCTGGCCTCCTCCCATGGTCACAGAACAAAGGGTGAGAGCAGATGCCCCTGTGAACGGGGTGAAGGTGCTGGGGTCAGGGCAGAGGGCTTAGATGGCAGAATTGGGTACACAGAAAGCAGAGAAAACCAGACTAAACCAGCACCTCCCACCTCTCCTGATGAAGTGGCAGGTTGCGTCCATTTTATGTGTCATTATTCACATGAAGTTTGTTCATAATTGAAATAGGTGTCCCTAGAGTAATATATACATATATACATGTATATATTATATATTTTATGATATATTAGGATATATATATCCCCAATACACTATGTTGAGTCAAGCAGTGTAGAGAAAAGCTACAGACCAGCCATTCTGTAAACAAGTTAAAAGTTTTCTGGACCATTCTTTCTGTAACTGTGAAATGGGAGGGTTGGCCTAGAAGGCCATGGAGCTTCTGACGTAGAGCATTTTACTGCTCTGTGAGTTCCTGGGATAGGGAGCACCTGGCGGTTGCTCCACTCTAAAGAAAGAGCTTTCATTTCTATAACTGCAGTGAAGAGAACCATACAGCCTGCCAGAGCCATACTTCTCTCAAAGTTACTCTACAATCACCATAGGTTTGGGTGTTACTATAAACCTCACACTAATCCAACTTCTTACATGCCTTGCATGCATTACGTGATCAGGGCAATTCCTGTGAGTTGAATCAAACTCAAATTGACTAATCGAATCCTGGCCCCAGAATACAAACTCCCAAAATATTCAGTCAGTCATCTGTGTGCCAGCCAGGGGATTCTCTTCTAAGAAGGATAGCCCAGGCTCCTGGATTTGCGGCTTCCCTAACTTTGAACAATTGCCCTAGAGACTTGCGTCTCTCCAGGGAGATGTCAGATTCTCATAAGACAGTTTACCAGGAAAAAAAATGCCCCAAAGAAATCCTAGATGATGCATCTTTACCCTTTACTCTCCGTATTCATTCTACCTGAGAGTGGGGTCTAAAAGATGAGGAGTTCAATCCAGCAACACCTAGCTACTATCCCTGGCTGAGAAGAGCGGGCACGGTTTTCATGTGGACACACGGACACACAGAGGTGCTATGCAGCCATGATGGAGCCTTAGACAAGAAAGCACTGGGCATTTTTCTTTCTTATACCCCCACCACCACCACACCACCACCATCACCACACACACACATACCGGTCTTGTCAAAATTTTGACAGTGGCTTCAAATTCCAGGATTCCAATTTACCTCCTAACAGACAGACCAATATACTTGGCTACTTGGTACTCTTTCATTCATGGGAGGTTATAGAGGGGAGGGTGGTGCTGTAATGGCTTCACAGGGGAAATCCAATGAACCTGACTCCACTCCTAGCTCATGTCATCACGCCTTCTCCCTCCACAGACACATCCTCCCACTACCCACTTCAGGACCTGGAAGGCTTTGCCCCTATAGGCTCCGAGGTCTGGTCTCTGGCAGGGCCACGATCGAGTGACAGAGATCCTCACTTCAGGATGTAGGATGTGCACACGTGCCTAGCCCAAGGCCACATAGGTGTTGTTGGGATTCACACGTACCTGGGTCTCACATCCAGAGTCTCTGGGCCAAAGATCAGAGCTGGGCTGGCCTTCAGGCAAGAATATGGCCCCTCTTAGGCCAGGGGAGATTTCCAGGGACCTTCAACACCTCTCCCTAGCAGAGCTGCCCACGCCCAGGACTCAGATGCCCATCATCCTGGAATGCCGAAGGGCCTATTCCTTGGATGTGGGGACCTATCTCTATGACACAGAGCTGGGCAGACGGAGAATGCTGTCTGTTGCAGGATGCAGTTACTCTTGCTAGCAGGAGATGACCAATCTCCCATTCCTAGGTTTTAGAGATGCCTGCATCCCAGTACTACCTTTGGGACACCTGGGACCCCATCCTCTGACAGAACTGCCCACCATACCACAGGGTGTGCCGCCCCTTGGAACACCACCCTTCTGCAGCCCTCACCACCAGGCCCTGGGTCTGGCTTCCATTCCTGGCCTAGTCGGCAACTCCTACCTTTGCTGAGCAGCTCCCAGATCCTGTGTGATAGCTCCTCTCAGCTGATGCTTCTCCAAGGCTGCTGAAGCCTGAACCACTGCAGTAAGCGGAGAGAAGCAGCCAGCAGAGCAGGATGCTCAGAGAGCTTCTGGGTCCTAGTGGCCTCCTGCTTTCCACCAGCCCCCTTAGAGCCACTTCTGGAGCAAACAGCTGGGCCTCAGGACTTCCAGGCAGGGTGCTCAAGAAGCTCCGTCCCTCATATTTCCCTCATGATTCTAGACTGCGTCTCAAAAGGCAAGCGGGCAGGGAAAACTTTCCCAATTGGCCTGATAAAGAAAAGGCCCTGGGCACTTAACAGCTGAGTTACCTTGGGCGAGTCATTTCCATTTGGCCTTTGTTTCTTAGCTGTTCAATAGAATTACGGGGTAGATAGCCCCTGAGGTTTCCGACAGAGTTTTTATTTATGGTGTGGTTCTGTATGATACCAGAACCAAGATGCTTCTGTATAGGCAGCCAGAACTCCAAGACTAGACCTAGGGAAAGCTGAGGCTCCTGAGGTGGATTCACGGTTTGACTCTTTCAGAAAGTAATAAATTCATACAGCAGACAGATTAAGGGGTGGCAGTGGGATCTGACCCTGCATTTGTCCCCACCCCAAGCACACCCCCATTATTTTCCTAAAGTGGATATTTATTGGGAATGCCTGTGAGGGTTTATGGAGACGATGGATCTAACACCTCCTGAACTACCTTTTGCACATCTGCTCCTCTGCTCCATGGAGGCAGCATAGAAGCCAGATTCCCAGGAAGGCTCCGGGTGGTCTACGTTTGGGCTGGACAGTGGGCGCTTCTCCCACAAAGTGTCACGACTGTGTGACAAACCCTTAGAAGGGAGAGAAGGGGTCTGGCCTCCTGCTGGCTCTGAAGAATTTCGTTAGTGACTGATACTGAGGACAGGTGCCTAACACGGCAGGTTATGATTTCCCCAGAATATGGACTCAGTATTTTCTCTCTTTTAGGTTTGTTGTGTGTGTGTGTGTGTGTGTGTGTGTGTGTGTGTGTGTGTGTGTGTGTGGAGGGGGTGTTTTGCCTGCACACGTCTTTGCTGCCCATGGAGGTCAGAAGAGGATCCTGGATCCTCTGAAACTGGAGTTAATGGATGGCTGTGAGCTACCCTGTGGCTGCTGGGAACCAAACCTGGGTCCTCTGTAAGAGCAACAGGTGCTCATACCTGCTGAGTCAACTCTCCAGCCCCAAGGCATCCAAACTCTGGAAGTGAAGACATTCCTCCAAGTCTACCCCCAATAGAGCAGAGCCTCCAGCCTGAACAAGGAATTCAGATCAGATCTGGAGCTGTCTGTCCCCAGAGCCTCGGAGGGGGACACAGGTACATTCAACACCTCCTTCTGGCTCCAAGGGAATTCTAGAATTGTTTACTAGATCTAGACAAGGAGTCATAAAACCAGTGACTTATCCAGGGGACTCAGAAGGTCAGGCTGCCCCTCCCCCAGACAGGGTTTCTCAGTATTAACAACCTGGAATTTGCTATGTAGACCAAGCTGGCCTTGAACTCAGAGATCCTCCTGACTCTGCCT